ACATATTGTTATCACCTCTGTATTTTCAGCACTATTAAAAACAGTTAATTTTTGTCCATTTTTAATCTGTATTTTCATCTGTGCACTTGGGTTAGGGCGAGGTGTACATGTACGAGATGGCACATAAATTACTATATGCGCTACCACTGTTATCACGATGTTGGTAGTATTTTGTATTACTTTTTACTTTGCACTCACGATTCTTCTACATTGTTGCAATGTTGGTTTAAAAATCTTATCCTGATTATTCGATGACTTATAATGCGATGAGAATTTAGAGAGAAAAAAAACGATATTTTTGGTTAACAAAAATAAAAGAAAAAGGAAGAACATGACAAATAGGCCAGAAAAAATATATCGCCCTGTCTCTAATAATCGCAGGACCCATCTTACAAACTGTTTCTAGAAATTCGAAAATATTTCTAATGATTCTTTTTTTTTTTTTTTTTTTTTTTTTTTTTTTTTTTTTTTTTTTTTTTGATAAACACATAATTCTTTCTCTCGTTCTCTCTTTCTCTCTTACATCCACACACATCCCCTTTCGTTCTCTTTCTCTCCTTTGTTTCATCTGCCCTAGCACCTTTATACGGACACATGTCGAAAATACAGATAGGAAAATACTATCTACATATTAGAGTACTTACAAGAATTAAAATATTTCTCAATTCCATTCGGTGATATAGAATAAGTGCACGTGCTGAATTTATTTTTTGTATATAAAAGATAAGTTAAATCGACAATCTAATTTCACTAAATTGCTGTTATTACTTCATGCGAATAAAACTATTCATTCATACGACAAATATATATAGATTGAGAAACATTTAAAAGTGTATCTTAGTGCCAGAAAACTAACACAATTCTTTCGAAAAAAATATTTATACGTATTTCGATCTCATTATTGATATGGAAGTATAATATCGAAGAAAAGAGCCTGATGAAAGGAGTTTATAATATTTTTATACGAATATTTATCACTTTTGATCGAACTTTGAAAAATTGCTATTTACGTATGTATAATCATTACAAGAATAATACTAGCTATGTTAGTAAGCGGGCAAATTTTTTGTTCAATATTATACAACGTTAATTTCCCAATAATTTTCTGTAATTACGACATTTTGTATTAAGTCAAGATATTCTGTGTTGTTATAACGGTACTAGGTCTCTCTATTTTAGCAGCGCACTGCGAGTTCTGCGATCACTAGAGACTAAAGACTGTTGGAAATTATAGAATTCTCAATAAATTATATTGAACTATTCAAGTTTAATTTTGAAATAGCATTGCCCTTCTTTATGATCTAAAAGAAAGAAAGAAAAAGAAAAAAAAAAAAAAAAAAAAAAAAAAAAAAAAAAAAAAAAAAAAAGGAAAAAAGAAACAAAAGATTGACAAAAAGAGTAGAGTAAATAAGAAAGAGATGATGATTAACATAAGAAGAAAAAGCAAGAGCTTAATATGCAAAGATACATATGGAATAGAAAAAAAAAAAAAAAAATCGAACAAAAATTAGCAGATTGGAACAAAATAGAGCATAAGCGACACGCGGATGAATTAGGAAACGGCGAGACCAGCTGCAGTCTAAGGATACTGCCCCACTATCAATCGATACCGGTCGATTGATAGTTGGCCATGTTTTGTGAAAAAATCGACTGTGTCTTTTTGTATGCGACCACAGAACAGCCGCAGTTCTCTACTCGTTAACCAACACCGACCAACTACCACCTATAAACATTATTGCCGACTTTCTACATGTAGGTGGAACGTTTTATCGGCAGTCAATGAATTAACTCGAGAGCATATGAAATGTACGATATTTCATAGTTAAAACGATTCGTATCCTCTCGTTTTAATTTCGTTTAATTTGGCTCGTGACTTACTTATACGAGAGCGGAATTCGCACCGCTTATGTCTCCTGAATACGATTGGCAAACGAAGAAAACTAAAAGAGCGACGTATGACTTTCATAATATTTATCCAATAGAAAACAAAAAATATGTTACCAAATCCCCTAGTTCGACATATATTATATGTGTATGTATATATGATGTATATTTCTATCACTATATCTTGTTTTTATATGCCACATATGTTTCGATAACGTTTTCTTAGTTCAAGTTTTCTTTTGCATTCTATCACAAAAATTGGCAACAATTTTGTTTTTTTTGAATATTGGCTTTTAAGAAACGTGGGCTACATATTAGGAGACAAAAACACACCCATATCTCAAAACAGGATATCACACGTCGCTCTGTTATACGTACATATGCAAATGGATGCAGTTTTGTTTTCATCGTAAAGTCTTGTAAATTGTCTGACGTCGATGTATGAAGGACGAACTCGTAATTACTTCATCAAATATCCAACCAATTAAGTTGAATGTTCAATGAATTATTTTATTAAATCATTATTCCTTATCCACAAACACGACGAACTTAGCATAAATGCGATAATCCTATTCGAGTTCGTATTCCATACAATTTGAGCTGCGTCATTTATAGTTGTTGCTTGACGAACGATGCAAGCGATGTTTAAGCGTAAAAGGATAGCGCCTTTAATCACGTTATGTTGCATACGAAATAGTCCTGGATTTTGAGTTTAAAAATGAGGATGATAATTATATATCGATGACCGAAGAAAAAAGAAACTGGGGTGTGCCTTTAACGTTGCTTGAAATATTAGCGGCGATTTTGGTAACTTAAATTGCTTGGATTACCAGATTGCCGCATTCCACCACCTCCCCTTCCACCATCACCCCCTCGTGAAAATCCTCCACGTCCACCTCTTGTACCATGTTGACCACCTCTCATCATTCCTCCAGGTCCACCTATAAAAGAAAAAAATATAATTAAAGCTTAAAATAATTTTATAATAATTTATAATACAATTATAAATCATTTAATTTGTTATTTTATATTATATATTTTATATTTTATATTATATATTAAATATTTACATTTTATATTTTATATTACAATTTTACTTAACATTAAATGTTAAATAACCATTTCAATTTATCATGTAAATTTTTATTACATACCCGGACCACGTTGTTGTTGCTGTTGTTGTTGACCGCCCATTGCTCTCATACTACCATCATTCGAATTCAATCGACCACCGCTGCCCTCCATTGTTCTAGGCTTAACTTTTTTTTCTTCAACATTTAATTTTTGTCCATTCTCAGCAGGATAATAAATTGGCTAAAATTAAAAATATATATAATGAATTTTTTAATTGATTAAAAGAAATATTTTATACAAAAAAAAAAAAAAAAAAA